CATGTACCAGCCCTCGTACTTGGCGTTCTGCAGCGCCGTGTAGTTGTTCTCCAGGACGATCTCCGTGAAGACGCAGTCCTTGCCTTTGCCATTGCTCTGAGAAGGGGACAGAGTGGGGATATTTAAGCAACAGGCGCTTGGTCAGAGGGCTGCTTCTCACCACCCCAATCTGGATCAGCTGAGGTGACAACAGGGGTGTGATGCTTGTGGGCAGCCAACGGCTCACTTTTCCCACCTACAGGTCCCAATTGCCCAAAATCTGCTTTTAATTAGAAAAGCTGAGGGGAGCAGTCACTTTGGCATGGGCAGACGCTGCTCATTGTGGCTTGCATCCCCACAGGGATGCCAGCAAAAAGCCCCAACATGGTTTGTCCCAACCTTCTCTGCACCCACAGGGAGATTTCTGCCTGCTCCCATCCTGCCCCCATCCATGCCAGGGCTGGATTCCCCCACCAGCATGACGATAAGGAAGCTATCCATCTCAGTGGCAATTCACCCACCCATCCTATTCCCCCTTGGGTGTTTAATATAGGAGGGGCATCAAAGGGACGAAGAGGTGATGCAGGGTCCGTGGGGGTGACGTCCATGGATGGAGATGGCAGGGAGCATGGGGGGCAGCTGGAGGCTGAGCTCCTCCCCATTACAGGCAGCAGCAGGACCAGGGAAGGGACCCGCATCAGCCAGCCCCAGGGAGGGAGCTGCCACTGAAAACCGTCCCAGACAATTGCTGCCCCAGCTGGATTTTGCACATCCAGCCCCCCTCCGCCCCCAGGGAGGGAGCGTGGAGTCTCGGAGGGAGCGTGACTAACCGCTGCGCGGCAGGGCCCAGCCTTGGGGCCAGCCCCACGGAGCATCTTAACATTCCTGGCACTTGTACCATGTAATCGGGGAGAATAGCCCAGCAATCCGCCTATTTGTTCGGGGAGATACAAGGAATGCGCCCCACATGGCACCCGCCCGCCTCTCTTGCTCTCCCCCTTCCCTCCTGCCGCCTGGGCAGCAGGATGGCTCGTTCCCCTGCCCTCCAAAGGGATGTGCTGGCTGAGCCCCCTGGACCCCCATCCCACCTCCCCAACCCCACGGATGGGCTCCGTATCAGGTAAGAGCTCCTCTCCCAGCAAGCCCCGGTCAACACCCACAGCACATCCCTGGTTGTCCCGTGCCCTTGAGCCCAGCGCCCTACCTTGCCGATCAGCTTCCCCTTCTTGTTCATGCAGATGTAGAAACCTGTGGCCGCCCCCTTGATGCGCACACGGCTCCCAAAGGTGTCCGTCTCCACGATGAGCTTGGCTGGGGAAAGCAGCGGGAGGAAAGAGAGAGGGAGGTCAGAGGGGCTCTGGGATGGAGCTGGCACAGGGATGGAGACCTCAGCAATGCCTTACGCTGGGCAGGGAGGAGGCTGGGCCAGAGAGTGCCCTAAAATCAGAGCGCAAGACTAAGTCAGCCTCGGCCCCTCTACCTTGCCACTGTGTCCCTGTGTGACCTTGATCACGTCCCTTTGCCACCCTGAGCTGTGCTGCAGGGGGAGTAGCTCCGCCTGGCCCAGCTCCATGGGGCTCAGCGG